AGTATCTGATGAGAGAGAGGGGGCCTTCTCCACAGAAAATAGGGTATTGGAAGCAAAATTCATGTGAGCATTCTCTGTAATAGGTTCTGCTCTGATCTAGTTTGGGGCAGAATACAAAGCATGAACTAAAATCTTATAATCCATGGCACGCAAGTATCAGTAAGTCACTTATTGTCCTGTGTCAGCATTTCCATCATTGATAGATAGCTGGCAGGACTGGGGAAACATACAGAACAAAAGAAAGGTATTTGCATGCAGTTGCATAAGAGGTTCTGGTCATGTCATCCACCTTCAGCAATAAATCAGGATTCATTATAGATCAGAGGAAGGAAGGAAGGAAGGAAGGAAGGAAGGAAGGAAGGAAGGAAGGAAGGAAGGAAGGAAGGAAGGAAATCTACTTCCCTGTACAATCTATATTACACTTCATACCATTTTCAAATTCTCCTGATATTGACCCTAAAATGTTTAATATCTGGCTGAAACGGTGGCACAAGAGAGGGACCATGATATACTGACAGGAAATAACTTCACTTTCCCGAATCTAGATCCACACTGACCACCATTCCCAGAAGCAACTGGAGCCATTATATTCAGAGATGCTGAGCATAATGGACGGCTGTCCCTGTGTTTTAGTTAAGTTGCAAATGAAATTAAATTGTATGGTGGTCAGCATGAAAGTACTCTCAAAACTTAACAGCTCAGTCTTCGGGTCTAACTTGAGAAGATGTTGAATTTTCCTCTCTACCCTTCTACTATGCAGGGTTAATCATAGGGTAGGAAAGTTTTAATAGGTAAAACTATGTGAGAAAGGAAGTGTTAAACTTTTCCCTAACTACATCATGGCCCCAATCAAAACCGGGAGCCTGTGCAGCTTCTGTTTGCCTTTTTTAAAAAAAACTCTTGGAAGATCTCACCTGGGGCGATTTCTCACTAGAGCTGCCTCGCAGCACAGCCGCCGTTTGCCCCGACACAAACATGTCAATTTCACACCCGAAGCTCCGGGGCTGCATTTTGACTCGAGGCTTCGCCCGATTTCCTTCGCAGTTTCATGATCCTGGTTTTTGAGGATCATGAAACTGCGGAGGAAATCGGGTGAAGCTGCGGGTCAAATGCAGCCCCGGAGCCTCGGGTGTGAAATTGACATGTTTGTGTTGGGGCAAACGGCGCTGCGCTGTGAGGCAGCTCTAGTGAGAAATCGCCCCTGGTGTCTTTCAGAGACCAGTATCTCATCTCGGTATGCCCTCAGTAACAACACATAGTACATACGTTAATGCCATGCAAAGGGAACAACGTAATTTATATCTGGCAGTCCCTTGCACTGCTCTCCTAAATACTTCCACTCTTGCTATTCACTTCTGATGGCTGGATGCTACTCCAACCTGAGATGCATATTTGCTGGAAAACTGGGAGCTGGTCAGGGAGCATACCTCTCAACAATAAAGCAAACATGTCAATACCACTAATTTCATAATGTTTCCAAGCTATAAGATCCTATGGTGCAGGAAGGGGGAAGATATAAGGAACTGCAGGGTGGGAATGAAAGAAAGTTGGTACTTGTTTTCATTGACATTTCACTGATACACATCTTTGCATTCTGTGGGACCCTTCTTGCCGGGGGGGGCTTCCATTTCTACATGGTCCAATTTTTGCTGCTTCTCATGGTCTATTATCTCCTAATACCAACTCTGACCTCTAGGATGCATTTGGTCTGATTCTCATTGCAGCTAATGAATCCATGTCATGTGCTTTGCATAGAGTTAGATAATGATATAATCTTCCCATTTTGCCTGCTTCGGCTTTTGCTCAATTTCGTCACTGCCAGTAGGAAACTGAGTAGATGCCTGTTCATTTCTATACATTAAGGAAGCAGATCACTTTGGGGTTTTTAGCTGCCTTGATAGGATCTGAGTTCGTGGCTGGTCCATGCATTCCCATCTGGAGCAGAGTTACAGGCTGATTTCGCACTAGAGCTGCCTCGATGTTGCGCCGCCGTTTGCCCCGATACTATTGGTCAATTTCACACCCGAAGCTGCGGGGCTGCATTTTGACTCGCGGCTTCACCCGATTTTCCCCGCAGTTTCGTGATCCTGTTTTTTGAGGATCACGAAACTGCGGAGGAAATCGGGTGAAGCCGCGGGTCAAATGCAGTCCCGCGGCTTCAGTTGTGAAATTGACCAGTAGTATCGGGGCAAATGGCGGCGCAACATCGAGGCTGCTCTAGTGTGAAATCAGCCACAGCCTTCTAAAAGCATTGACCTCAGAAGACTGTAGCGTATGTAACTCTGCTCAGGATGGCACTGTACTTCTGTTAAACAGCTTCTGAGTGGTGTCTTGTTTCTCTCTCTCCACACACACATATACATCATAATGTGCAGTCATCAGGCCCCCATGTGGTAGTCACACACCATTCATAATGTTTTCACAGCAGCACTGAATGCTCTTTGTGCTGGTGAGGGGAAATCTCTACATGATACATCAAGACCATTTGGACAACTGTGCTACAAGATATTACACCACCTGAAACACCTTCTTCTAAGTGGCAGCCTCTCGATATTATTGGCAACTTGCCGGATGCATAACCTGATATCTGGAGAGTCTCAACACCACCACCAGCTGCTGTCAGGAACATTCTTCAGAAGTATGAATTCAAACACAATTGATCCAAATAGGGAATCTATGCAACACATTATGCCCCTACCATGGAGCAGATTTCACTGGAACTACTTCAGTTAACCTCCATATAACTGATATTCCATCTTACTCTTCTCACAAATGTGTGGAAAAGGCAACTTCATAAGGTGGAAAAGACAACTTGTTTGGTGTTTGCAGATATGTCAGAGATAATGTGTTTTGCCCCTTAGATCTTGAGCTCTGAATGGGATTGGGGCCAAGGATTCCTGGCCAAGCCTGGAAACTGGCAGGGGGTTGGTTGCAGGGATACAGGGTGGGGGGGAATTGCTGGTGTGACAATACCACTTCCAGGGAAAATCTGGAAGTGATGGGGTAGCTCTAGGAATCGCTGAAAACTCTAAAACTCTATGGTTTTCCCCAGAAGTGACATCACCAGTGATTAAAAAAATTACCCTACCACCACTTGGAGTGGACAATTGGAGCTCGGGGTGGATGATCCCCCTCTACAGAGCTTGGCAGCCCTAATCAGGATGGACTGGCCATATAGCTTACAGGGAAAGCTCCCAGTGGGCCACTGCCCTATAAAGCCCCTGGTAGATAGGAGCCAGTATAACCTCTTTCCTTATTCAGGAACAGAACTTGCAAGCCAAACTAATTTAAAATATTTTTTCTTTAACTCTGTCTTTTTGCTATGCAGAACAATGAAACTAACATTGATACAGTGAACACATAAATACAACAGTGGAGAGGAAATTGTAATAGCCTCTCCGAGTTCAAGTAAACAAGTGGTCCTTGCTTGCAAAACTTTGTGTTGAGTCTGACTTCTCCTCTAGTCCACCAAGGTGCGGGATTCTTCTCATTCACTTCCTTTCAAAGGGGTTTAGATCCACCCAATTGAACAACACAACAACTAACTTGAAAGTCATGCCCCTACAATATAACAATATAATTACAACCATAATACCAGCTATACTAAATTTCATCTCCCTTTACTAATTAACATTCACACAGAGAGTTTTCCAAATTATCTTATGCAAGGTAATAGGAGCTCAGAAACTCCTATCAATCCCCCCAGGAACCCAACTCTCACCCTGCTGCTAAGCTCCATACACTGACTCCTCTCCTACTGGGCTAAACCAACTAGTTCTTAGGGGTTTCACAAGCAGAGCCCAGACCCAGTAGCACTGCCAGCACTGCAGGGACCACTCAGCTTAGACCTTGTCAGCCTACAATGGATGTCAGCTCATTCTTCGGCATTTCCTGCCCGACAACTTATGGTAGTACAGGAGAAGGCAATGAGTAAGCAGACACCCATCGTGGGTACCACTATCCAGTTCCTGAGGTCCAGCTATACTTTTTGCTGATTCCAAAAGCTTTTAAGGAAATAAAGAATAAAACATCAGTTGCCTCACCACTACCCCAAATGCCCACCTTGCTTATCTTCTTCCTTGCAATTTCCAGAGATTGCTGTGCTGGGAAGGGTGAAATGCTTGTGTGGGAGACCTTACTGAGTGGGAACCTCACAGATATTAACATCTTCACTGATTCCTTTTATGGAAGGGCAGTGTTTTCACAGTTGGTTTGCAAAACAGTACTGGCTTAACATCATCATTATGCTTCTGAGTTTTTTCTCTCTCCCCATCTTGAGTTCTAAAGCCCTTTCTGATTAATTCTCCTTCGTATTTTGTATTCGATCTTTATTGCATTAGCAAAAAAGCAATAGTAACAATACAGAGTAAAATGCAAATGTCCAAAAAGATAAAATTTGAAAAATAATAAAAAGTTGGACATTTTTAATTGAAAGTATTAAAATACAAAGTCATCATTAAAAATATGTCTAATAATAAGAAAAAAGACCATACAGTCCAGAGACAAATTACAAATGGCAAGTGACCCAGAGTGGAGCAGTCACGGGTCACACCCCATCATCTTTTTATCCCTTATGATGGTGGCAGCAAATCCTGCCATTTGGAAAGTAATGAATTTGTCCCTATCTGCCAATATTATGACTCATTTCTCTTGATCTGACCTTCCTGGGAAGTGGGATGTTATGGTCCGCAAAAATCTGCTACATTCAGCCTCATACCTTAGACACTGGGATGTGACTTGCCCCTTAATTATGTAGACTTTCACAGTGATGTCAGGCTATTTACTTTTCTGAACATATCAGGAAATGATACTACAAGGAGGTCAGGTGTCTCACCCAACATCATCCACAAAGGAACTGATATCTGGGAAAGGAACTGAGAGGTCCTGCGCTCTGGGCCACATTTCCTCTTACAGTGCCCATTCGATACTGTCAGATAAATCTAGTTGTACTTTCAGACTGAAAGGACAAACCACTAACATCATTTTTGTTCCTTCTGCAGGAAAGAAGAGTGTCCCTCCCTGCTTCCCCAACGTGGATTCCACAGCTGGTCAGACAGGCTAGCAGTTTAGATGGTTGGGTGAGCCCTGCCCAAACACCAGAACCTGAGGAAGGGCATATGGAGGCCTTTCAAGCAGCCAGCATCATGACCCCACCTCCTATGTCTCCCTCATGGAGTGAAAGGTCTCTGTCCCCTTTCCGGCAGGAGACCGATCCCAAGTCCAGCCGACAGATGCAGGTAATGCTGGCCAGAAACATCATCAATGCTGCCAGGAGGAAGAGCTCTTCTCCTAAAGCCACAGGGATAGACATTTTCAGGCCTTTCACTCCCCCTGCCTCCTCTGCCAATGTGTCGTACTCGGGTGGCAGTCCTAAGAACACTACCCATTCCTCAAGCCCAGTGCAGTCTCCCAAGCCAACAAGAATGGAAGGATACAGACGTGTCTCTCTCCCAGTCACAACCACTACACCACCACAAGTCAGTGCATCATCAAACAATAGCCCCAGATTAATGGGCAACCACTCCCCAATTTATAAAAGCCCACTACAGTCTCCAAGAGCTGTGAGGATGAATGGGAACAAGTACTTCACGCTGCCTGCCAACAGTGGGGCATCAGTGTTTAATGCGGCATCCAGTAATGGACCAAGAACAATCGACAACCATTCTATGACCTGCAGGGATCCAGCACCATCTGCCAAACCCTCAGTCATTGATACTCACAGGATCTTCACACCACCAGCAAGTGCAACCAGAAAATCGTCATGTACTAGTCCTAAGAATCTTGACAACTGTTCCCCAACCATCAAAAGTCCCCTGCAGTCTCCCATGATGGGAACACATTATCCGCCGGTGAAGCGCTACACCTCAAGTTCACCTACCAACTCAGATGTGTCCATTGACTCTGAAGACTCTGGGATCAAGTCACCCAGTATTCGCAGCTTCAACATTTGTCCCCGAGGCTGGAATGGAAGCTTGAGGCTGAAGCGAGGTAGCCTGCCTGCAGAAGCACCCTGTACCTCCTAAACCTGGGATAACAGAAGTTAGCTAGGAAATAGATGAGATCTGTTATTAAATATTTCTGTAGGCCTATAGCATTACAACTACCAAATCCTGCCAACCTAATTAAGTATCAGGAAGAAAGAGCTGGTTTTGTAAAGACAAGATGTAATTTTTCTTCTCAACTCTTACTGGGGATTTTCAGTACGGGGTAGAACTTGTTCATTTGACAGAATAACTTAGGGCAGAGGTGCCCTAAAGTGAGGGAAATGTGACTCTGACTCTACCCCCAAAGTACCAGATTTTAGGAGGATCCCTTTAGTTTCCTCCCATCATACATTTGTATGTGTATTTGGCTTTCACACTTTTGAGTCAATTGTCTCAGGAGTCATCAGTGCCATCTTTGTGAAAGGCTAATTTGACTTGGAGTGCTTTTGTTTCCACTCTGAAATACCCATTTGGAGGATGTCAAAGATGGAACCTGCAAATTGTCCTTCCCATGGTATAATCCCCAGTAAACTGTCAGTGAGCAACCAGGAAAAGAGGCCCACCAACCTTGTGTCTGCCTTCCATTGTAATAGTTTTTTCCTGCACTCGAGACCTTGAGTCAGGCCTACCTCCAGTGGCCTGAAGGGATGAGTCAAAAGCAGGGGAAGGGGGCAAGAAGCCCATTCAATTGTTATCCCTGATAGCTGATCTGTATGGTAAGAGCTGGCTTTACATAAATTCTAGAAGAAAATAGCTATGGCATTCTCCTCTCTGGACCCAGAGTTGTGATAAACTAACACCGAGAATAAGAGCTGAGAGGGAGAACTGGAACGAGTTACAAAAATATGAAGTGAAGATCTTTTACACATGAAGAATTCAAGCCAATCTTCAGAAAGTTACCAGTGTCCAAGAAAATCTGGAACTTCTTCTGACAGATAAATGATTATTAGCCAAGCATGTGGAGAGAACACGATAAACACCACATGTCCTCATACAAGGCTAACACCCCCAAATCAGTGTCTGGTAACCATTCTTTTTGTTATGGGGAAAAATAAGCTTCCTCTCTAAAGCTAGCACTAATGAGTGAGTCGACACAGGATGTTCTGTGTGCAGCAGGGCTTCTCTATGCAGCATAGGCCAAAGTGTGGATCTGTTAAAATGAGGAAGACCATCAACAACTTCCTTCTGAGCTACACATATTGTTAATGAGTTGGAAAGTGGACAGGGTTCTTATATTAAGCAAAAGCTTATAAAGTGGTAAGTCTAGCCCCCCCCCCCGAACCATTGTTTTAAATAAGGGCTGATTCTAGATGAGAGTTTTTTTCTCATGGTGGCCATATTACTGGTGCAATGGCTGCTCAACTCACACTTGCAACAGAAGTTCTACACATCAAAGAATAATCTGGTTTTTCACTCTAGTTAGCCATGGTTTCCCTTTCACACCAGGTGCACTCCCCCCCCCCATTGTTGTCATGCCACCGTCATGATTATGCACCCAACTACATGGTTTTGTTGGTGTCATCAATTACACCAAGGCAATTCCTTGTGAAAACGCAGAGGAAGAGGGCAAAGGAGGTGTTTCCTTTCATTCAAACACAAGATGTACCTCCCCTGCTGGACACATGGAAAGATAATCTCAACACCATGCAAGGAATTTTTTCAGGTTTTTTTTTTAAGGGCAAAGGAGGTGTTTCCTTTCATTCACTTTCATTCAAACACAAGATGTACCTTCCCTGCTGGACACATGGAAAGATAATTTCAACACCATGCAAGGAATTTTTTCAGGATTTTTTTAAAGTGCAGTTTATGGGGGAAAGGGGAGCTATTCATAGTTTGTACAGGAATGAAGGATGATGTTGTGTGAAATCAAAATGTTGTGTGGTATGATGTTGTGTGGAAACAACAACAAAATGGAGGAAAATCCTCCATGTGGAATCATCCAAGGACTGCAAAACCTGAGACTTCCCTCCATATTAGCAGAACAGTGTCTGAAGTTTAAAGACTTCGTAAGGAATCTAGTGGATGAGAGAAATGCGAAGAAAACAAACTGCAGTTAGGTTCCTCCTGGGCTGGTTCCAGAAAGGGGTCTACATACTTCACTAATGTCCCTTCTAAATGGGGATGTGTTTCCAGCCCACTTGCCATCAAGATCACAAGCTGACAGGGCTTATACCAGATTAATAGGTAATAGTGAAGAGCTTCCGTGGCATGTATCACATGCTTGGGTGGGCCTATCACACACAAGAAACAAGGTTGTCTGATAGCAGGATTTGCCTATTGGACTCAAGTCACTCACAAGCTTCTTTGGGATTAGTGTCACAGTCAGATCCCTATTAAAAAAATAAACTGCCTCTCTCATTTATACAACTTAGTGAGACTACCTCCTAACTCTGGTGTCTCACATCTGGCCCATTTTTCCCCTGTCTGCTGTGTGGTACAGTTTCACACAGCCAGTATTACGCCTGGGATTGGCATGGGCAGGCTGATATCGGGGGGGGGGGGGTTACTCGCTTGCCCCTGATTCTGCAGTCATCATCTATTTTTATCCCTGTAACCTTTAAAGACAAGAACATGGTCTCAGTATTAATTCAAGGTGATCCATGAATGAAGTTAGACCCCCCCACACACACGTCTTTGTTTTCTTCTGCTCATGCATAGCTCTTGTAGGAAAGTAGGCGGGGGGGAGGTGCTCTACAGTGTGGGTTCCCAGGAAACATTTCACATCAAACTTAGGTAAACTCATCACGTGGCACTGGTACTGCTTGCATTACATTGCTTTAGCACTGTGCTGTCGTTTCACAACAGGGACAAGTCAGAATTTAGGTAAAGAGAAGGAGGGCACCGTATAACCAGGTGTATCATCAAGCAGACACCTCTGAGAGGCACCTAATTATCATAGACATCCGTCATATATGATATCACAAAGAAAAGAACATGTGCAAGAACTGGGTTGCTATATCCATGAACTTGCTGAAATACGGCACACCATTCTGTATTTAGCCAGGCCTGTTCAACTGCTCCTTGTTATACTACGGGGGGAGGGGGGGATCAGTGGAATGTCATTTGCAAGGAAGGGATTCCTATGGAATACAGCCTTAGACTGTAACTCCTTGCCCTTTGTCACCCCTATAACCTGCTTCATTGCCAACCCATATGTAGGCTACAACAAACATTTGGGAACCATTGCTGTAGGCAACTGGGGACTGACAGTTAGCGAAGCCAAAAGAAAGACTTTGCTGCTACAGGGACCTGAGTTCTGCCTTGACTCAGCAGACTCCAGGAGCTAGAAGCACAGTGTAAGAACATCCAGTGCTATGAAATATTTGTTTCCCCTGCAGCTGCTTGGCCTCTGGGGCTTGGAGGTTAAATGGATACTTTGGCTCTGCTCTGGTTTCACCGAAGGAATGGCAAGGGAGAGAAGAATATCACACATTACATCCCACACCGAGGCCTCTGTTATGACTGACTGGCCTGTGTGATAAAATTCAGTCCCACAGATGGGCAGCCTGGGAACATATGGTATACTGAGTGGCATTCTCAGATAGCGCTCTGGCCAGTCAACCTATCCTTGGGAGAAGGAATTACAACATGGGGGGAGGGAAGGCATCAAGGAAAGGTCGACTGAGCCCTCTAGAGGTCCAGGGTGTCAACTGCAAGATCTTTGTCTTAACAAGGCAGACATTTTAATGAATTGAAAATAAAGATAGCACTAGTTGAATGTACTTCGGCAGACATTTTAATGAATTGAAAATAAAGGTAGCACTAGTTAAATGTACTTCTCAGTAAGATAAGACTGTGGTGCCCCAGGAAGATCTTGTTTAATGATTGGAAGGAAATTCTGCATGTTGTTGAGTGTATGAGAAAGTGTCATTGATCCAGAAGAAGATGTTAAAAGAAACTTTTAAGACATTGAGGATCTCTAGATGCTCTCCCTCCCCCCTCGAACTGTACAGGGCAGCCTTTAATACACTGCTGTTTATAGCTTAAATAAGCAAAAATAGGATTTGAATAAAGGAATGGAAATGTGTGGAATGAAAGCCTTATCATAATAGCATATGCCTGCTCTTCTTTGGGTACAAAAGCTCTCTTGCTTTCCAATGAAAACAGATTTTTTTAAAAGACGACAAAATATATATATTGAAGTAATAAACATTGAGGTGTGGTGTTTAAATACACCCTGCTTATCCATGCCCAAGCCCTGCGAGCATGGATGATCGAAGCAAACCTGGAAGAGATGCAAAGAGTGTTTCGCAATACTGAAAGGCAACTAAGAAAGACACTATAAGGCAACCTGAAAAAGACTGGAGTTCTTCTTTGGAGGGGGAGGAAGGGAACAAGGAAAGACATCTGATTCACACTTCTTGTCTGTATAATCATGAAACAGGCTTCAGTTCTTTCTCCAAATATTCCCAAGTGATGTTTCCTGTTGCTGGGACACGACACATTTTCTTGTAGAGAAGGATCAAGAAAACCAGCACCCCAACTGGCTATTACTCAGCAAAGTGAGAATCTGTGAACATCAGCAAAGCAGGATTCAATCACATAGTAGAATCATCTAAGGTGAACTTATCTCTGCTTGAAACAACTTGCACACATGAAGCGGCCTTATACCGAACAATATCTGTTGCATAGCAATAGTGGCTATTGGGGGGGGGGTTGTTTTTTAACGATAATGGCCAGTGGTTGCAGAGGTGCTATTGTTCATTTGGGATTTTTTTTAAAGGGGTTTTGTACAAATTTAGTTATTATTCAAAATATTGATAATGTCAAACTTCTCAGTGTATTCAGTACTGTCTGTAAATAGCAATGCATGACTTCAGAAACAACATGTAACCTGCAATACCTACTCTACAACAAAATGTACACATTTTCAGATTTTCTGGTTATTTACTCAATCCAAGCAAAGAGTTTGGCCAACTGTGATTAACAGGAGAGTTACTCCATTCATTTCAATGGGCTTAGTCTGGAGTAACTCTCTTTAGGATTACACTGTTGATCTTTTTCTCTGGGATTACTTTCCATTATAGGTTCTGACCCATTTCACAGGAAGGTAAGTTACAAAGCAAACTGGATCGGGGACATGTTGAATGTTTGGGGGGGGGACATTTATATAAATTATTAATCCCTTCCTCCCAGGATTCTAAATGAGACAGTTCAGTCAAATCTCCTTCCATACATCTGGATTCATTTTCATGATAGAGAGCAATATACACTTTTCATGGTAGAGAGCAATAGTCTCAGTGAAATTTATCCCAAAATTCAAATAAGTGAAAATGTTTCACAGTTTACAAAGTCCCCCCCCCCAAGCAGTTGTATAATGTCTGCTTCTTGGGAATGACTCCCAGAAAACAATGAACAAGAAAGAGGAATTATTTCAAATGGATCTTTCACTGCCATAGTTTAGATAGCAGCATTAGATGAAACACAACATTGCACAGTATAATTGCTCAAGTAGGAAGATGTTGCTAATTAAATATTACAAATGTTAAATGTCTCTCTTAAGAGCTTGTAAGATCACTGGTGACTTCTCTGGCTTTTGAGATGCCTCCATCCTGAAATTCTAGAAGTAAGAACATATTGGGCTTCACCAAATGCTCTTTGCATTAGCACTGTGCCACACCTCTGTATACCAAACTCTGAAATAAATAAGAAATTAACCCCTACTGTCTGGCCATCTTGTATTATTTTGGAATTAAAGTATCAGTCACAAGGAGAGGCTCTTGCCTTCACAGTGTTTACATATTGTCTTCATGATCTCGCTCACATAAATAAGCATCCGCACAGCTAGGGAGGAGAATAGTCTTCTGGGAGGCTGAAACGCAGAACTCTTCTGCTGGTAGTCATCTGATAAAAACAATGGCAATATTGAAATTAAAACAAATGTTTAAAATAGCAGGAGTGAAGTCTTTTGTGGTAGGACATAAAAAAGACAAGATTCCAGTAAGGTGAGGTTATTGTTGTTTATTTGTAATTCATGGTACTTCCACATGATGGTTTTTTTCCACTTTTGCTTCCAGACTGGAACACTTCTTTTGGTGTGTCCATACAATATCAAGTTCTAATTGTCCTCTTTCTAGGTGTTCCCTGTTCTCAGTATACCCCCTTCCAAATCTGCTTTACTCTAATATTTTGGATTAGCATGTTATCATGCCACTGATGAGAAAGTGTACGTTTTCCATGGTCCTGACCCTAGTGCAATTTTCCTATTGTCAGCCTCTGATACTAACCATTTCCCCCCACCGCGATAGTAGAGGGTTTTTTAAGGTTTATTTTGGATTTAAAAAATCACAATAGCTATAGCATTAAATTGCTGTAGCAATTACTGTTTGCTTGTTTTTGAAGCCTCAAAATGCCTTCCAGTGGCATGCCGGAGAAAGCTTCAAGGGGCCAATGGCAGGAAAGTGGGCAGAAACTCCCATGTGGAAGGAAGGAGAAGGAAGGAGATTGGATTTATACCCCGCCCTTCACTTGGGAGTCTCAGAGCGGCTCACAAACTCCTTTCCCTTCCCCACCCCACAACAGACACCCTGTGAGGTGGGTGGGGCTGAGAGAGCTCTTGACACAAACTGCTCTTTCAGGAACAGCTGTGCCAGAGCTTGTGACTGACCCAAGGTCACATCAGCAGCTGCATGTGGAGAAGTGGGGAATCAAACCCGGTTCTCCCAGATTAGAATCCGTGCACTTAACCACTACACCAAACTGGCTCTTTGCTGCCAGTCCATTCATACTGGCAATGAAAGCAGCAAAGAGAGTCCATCCATGCCATGTGTAAGCAGCTTCCATTTAATTTTTGAATGTGTAGCTTGTTATAACTCAATGATC